GTGTAACTGACCCCAAGAACTCACCTTCCTTAGAAGACAATCCCAGCCATCCTGAAATGAATTACTGATTAACTACTATTAATATGCCATAGAGCTGGAGAGTCGTCTACAACACTGCAAGATCAATAACAGTATTTATCGTGCATTGTATTGATCTTCTATGAAAGAGTAGGACATATTTCACACTGTGTACATAGTGCAAAAAAAGTAGCATCGGTTCTCTACAGGAATTGGTAAAGGCATAGAAAAGAGTTCAGAGATCCAGTGGCACAACTGTTTCACTGCAAGAGCATTGTTCATGCATGGAGAGCCTCTGATGGCCCTAGGTTGTAGATTGGATATTACAGAATCCGAGTGACAATTTTACCCATTCTTCTTCTTTTTTTTTTTTTTTCGCTTCTAATTCTGTTCCTTCTTGTACATATTCAGTCACATATTTTTGTGTCCTATCTGCAACTTGCAGAATGTTAAAGTTTGTGTGGGCAGGGGAAAGACCCAGGAGCTTTTCCCTGTTTTTCTGTGTAAAGGGTCAAGACAGCTGAGGCATGAGCCTGGCTTCTGCAGCAGACCTCTGGTTTTAAAAGGCAGGTGGAGGGACAGAGTGGGAGCCTCATGGTACAGCAGCAGTTGCCTTGTTGACAGCTTAATTCCTCTCAAAAACTGCTTCCCTTAGAGCAGTGAACCTCAGGGCTGCCTGCCATGTGCAGGTGTAGTAACTTGGCAAGTTCTGAGGCAGGGGAGGACCCTCTCCTTGCCAGGAGAGTCATGTAGCTGTGTTGAATTACACTTGGGAAAACAAACAAATCAACCAACTCAAGCAACAAACCACAGCAACAGCTGAAAGCTGCTTTCTTAACCTTGGTGTTCTCTCTTTGGCAGCGGAAAAAGACTGAGAGCCTCCCTTAAGGAGGACACCTTGCTTGCTGAGTGACCAGGGGTGAGGCTGTGGGAAGGTTCAGCCTGTAGGTAGGAGTCAGGAATTACTCCAAAAGAAGGAGGCAAGAGGAACCCCAGCTAACTAAAATTTAATTACAGCCACAGCTTCCAATAGATCTGCTGTGTTCTGCAAATGGTGGTTGTGCCTGAGGATGCTGCTGCCTAGGAGTGGTGTGCTTGCACATCAGCTGACTGCCACACTTTGTCTGGAGAGAGCTGGCATAGATAGGGCAAAAAGTTCCCCTGGGCATACAATAAACATGAAGTCTTCTCTGGGCAGATCTCCAAGTGCCTTGCTTTATCCCTAGGAGAGTTTAGCAGTGTTCTTTGGCCTTTAATTCTGCTCCCATTGGCAGTTAGCACTTCTTCTGAGGTACCCTGTGTAAGTACTGGCTGGTCTGACATGTTTTTCTTCCTGAGCTTTCATTGCTCAGAAAAAAAAAAGTCAAGACTTTCAGGGCTTTCTCCATTAATAGCAAAGATCTTTGCCCTTCGTGTATTTACAGCTGTGTACATTTTATGTGTGTTGTATATGTATGGTGTATGCATTAGGTGACACAATCAGCCAGGTTGGATGGGGTAAGAGCTTCAGGTCTGCACACCTGCCCTTGACCCGTTGTGTGCTGGAGTCACCAAAGACTTGCTTAGCTCTCCAGAGGCATCCTTCCCTCAGGCTGGCTGGTGAAACACTGCAAGGAGTTTAGAGTAACCTTTGGCGTGCTTTGACCTGATCTGACCTGACAGCTGCCCAAAGCCCAGATGGCACAAGGGTATGTCTTGCATGAGGCATCTGTCTTCTCCCAAGTGAAGCACCAAATCTCCAGATGCCACAGAAAAATAACAGAGACCTGTCCCAAACCATAACATCAAAGAAAATCTCATCCTCTAAATTCAGGGGAAAGTGTCCGTTGAAGCATGTGGCAGCTTTCTCCTATTCTTTGTCAGGTGCTGCCAGTCCTTCCATCTTCAGAAGCATGATGTGGCTTGAGATTTAGGGAAGATTAACTCTTCTGGCTGTCTTTCCATCACTGTAGCAAGAGTCCTTGTTCAGTATGGAGTTGGTTGTGTCTATCCCTTCACTTGAGCTTCCCCTTTTCCCATGGCTCCTATTTTTATTGTTAATCTGCTGGGGCACATCCCTGTGGTGTGGCTGCAGTTCAGAAGGAGTGTGTGCCAGGGATGTTATGAGGACCATGGATTCCATAATTCCATGTATGTAAGAGGAAAATGCCTGAGGCTGCTGACACCTGGAGATCTGTGTGTATGGGTGCATGGTTGTCTGAATGAGCAGGTGAATGGCTCTACAAACTCAATGTTGAGTTTTGAGAGGGCAGCTGATAGTACTGTAGAAGCTAGTGGAGAGCGGAGAGACAGCAGAAGGAAAGCAGAGGACCATTCTGGTGGATTCATAATACTGAGCACTGAACTGCTGGCAGCTGTTGCACAGCTAGATAAAGGACAAGTGGGTCGCAACAGGTCAACCCCTTTGCACATCCATGCAAATCATGGTAGCCCCAGCCCCAGATAACAGGTAAAAGTGGAAAAGAAAGAGCAAAAAGGTTTTGGTTTTTTGGTTGGTGGTTTGGGGTTTTTTTTGCACCTATTTAATGCAGCAGAAGACCGTCACTGCTGCTTGCTCTTTGGGAAGTAGCTGTAGGACTACCAGCCACTGGAACATCACAGACACAGGAAGGATGTTTGTACAGTTTTGTGGGTATCTATGGGCAGGTCTCTGTTATATCCTAGCCCATCTTGTCCCATGTTAGGAAGCGTAGTGCATGAGACTTTTCCAAAAGTTGCAGCAGAACCTGCTACATTCTCCTCATCTTCAGTTGAGCTGCTCGCACCTCAAGGTGGCTCACCTTTTGTGTGTAGATGCAGAGGCCCCATGTTCCTGGTGCTAGCATTCTTTGTGGAAGGTATTATCTCTTCTTATGACGCACTGCAAGTGGAAACTCACTGCAGAGGTTTCAGAAGAAATTGCACATCTGTGCAGCATAGCACAGCCCTGACAGAAGTTCTGTGGCTGGCTGCACTGTATATTTCTGTCTCCTGTGAAATCTGTATCCCAGCAGGATGTTGGAGGATTTTGCGTTTGGCTTCTATTTTACATTATGAAAAGCAGAACAGTTAGACTGCAGCTTTATTTGAGAGCTAAGTCTGGGGAGTGGGTCAGGCTTGGGCTATGATTTATCAGAACTGCTGGCTTTTCAGTGCCAGTGGTATAAGTTCTGGTTTTATCAAAGACACTGACAAAAGGATTTGAAGAGAGGCCTGCCCAGAAGCAGAATAATAACAATCATAAAATCTCATAAAAATATGGAAGTTCAAAAACCGTGAAGGTTTTTTTGTGGCATTGTGAACTCCTGTGTACAAATCGAAGAGGTGCTCCCAATGAAAAAGGCCAGCTGGCTTGTTTCTCATTCATATAGGGCTGTGGGGCAGAAATATCAGATGCAGGAGGCATAAAACATTCTGGTAATAATAAATGGGTATAGTTCATTGGTGTCAGGAAAGTGTCAGCAAGGGCTGAATGGGGGCACTGCATAATTTAGTGACCTGGAAGGATCTGTGATTGCAGACAGCTTTCATTACAGCTGCAGAAGTGAAACAGAATTGCGTTGTAAATGGTAGTAACCGGTAAAAACGATCATTTGATCTAGTGTATAGTACACTGGAAGCTGTTACCATGACTCTGAGAAGCTGGTAAATTCCTGATTCATTTTTCAGGTATGTAACCAAGGTACAGATACACCAAAAGATGCAAGACAAACCAGGCAATGCCTGACTGGCATCCCTGTTAGGGATGTTATTTCATATGTGCCTATTGTCCATGCTGCTTCATCTCCATATGATAACCTTTGAGAGCTAACAAGTATGCTTTAGGCCACATCCTCTGCTTCTCCATGGTAGCGTTAAACAACAACATAGGAAGAGCAGGAGCTCCTTGCAGAAGGGATCATTATGCTGCGAACACTGTGTAAGGGTAGGTGCAGGACAGGGTAACAGGGATGTGAGGTAGAACCAGAGCTGCAAGGATGGCAGGATTTACAGTTGCTCCCTTGTTAAATACGTAAATGTGTATTCACCACATAGTTAGACTTTCCGAGGTTGTGGCATTTATTGCTGTGGCTGGCTCAGCCAGGCAGCAGATGCAGCATGCCAGAGAGAGCGTGGCTGTGGCAGGGTACCGACAAGCATCTTACTTTTTCATCCTCACAAGTGTAACACTAGACATTAGAGTGAGGAAAATGGGACTTAAAACATCCACTGAGAAGCCCCCGTCCCCCTAGGGAACAGCAGGGAAACAGACATTTGTGGGGACAGCCTGTGGGGAGTGCAGGCGGCTGGCCTTCAGTCTGCCGGCACTCCGGAGTGCAGGCAGCAAGTCATGAGCAATCCCCTCCTCCTCCTCTTTTGCCAGTGGTGTAGGAACTTGTTCTGCTCTGTGGTTCTGTAGGTAAACAGAAGTTAAATTTGTGTATGAAGGCGGGGCAGGGCCTTTGCTCTGCTCACTCAGGGGCAGCGTGTGGGTTTTTGAGACACTTTGGCTGATCATGGGGTGCTTTCCCTGCTGCAACTTCTTTTGGCTTTGTGGCTGTTTGTCCTTTTCCAGAAGCATGTTCAGAAAGTGTCTTCTCACCTGCAGGAAACTGGCTGGAGAGGGGTCCTGTAGCTACAGTCTGCTTCCAGGAGGTTAAAAGAGACTTGGCACACTGTTACAATATAAGAATAATAGGGAGCTGCAGCCTTAGCTGGTGTAAATCATCACCAGGTCACCTGACGCTGCTTGAGGACTCAGAACATCATCTTAACCTGCAGTTGCCTTTGTGTCCTGTTTTGCAGTCTCTGGTGTATGTAGGTGGTGGTATCAGGCTTTGTGTGGAAGTCAGTCCATGTGAGTTTCTACCAAACATCCAGCCGTGTTTCCCTTTCAGCGCCCCCCCTCTTCCTATTTACTACTCTCTGTCCAGCCTTCAGGAGTCGTAGCTCATCAGCAGGTGAAATGTAATGATCTTCATGGAGCCTCCTGTCTCATAATGGCTTCTTGCTTTCTTTTCCAGAGGGGCGGATGCTCATTCAGGACATCCCTTCCATTCCCAGCAGAGGGCACTTGGAGAGCACGTCTGATTTGGTTGTGGACTCCACCTACTACAGCAGTTTTTACCAGCCGTCCCTGTATCCTTACTATAACAACCTGTACAACTACTCCCAGTACCAAATGGCAGTGGCCAGTGAGCCCTCCTCAAGTGAGAATGGGAGTACAATTGTAGGGTCGGCCATGAAAAACAGCCTTCGAAGCCTCCCACCAACTTACATGCCAAGCCAGTCGGGAAAACAGTGGCAGGTATGATGTTACAGAGGTGTTATGGGGAAGAGTGAGGTGGATGATAACCTGTTTCTCAGGCCTGATTCTAACCTCCTGTTAGCTGGTTTAATGGCAGTGCAAAACCACAACCAGATTTCTGGGTGGGATTAGGACCCATGTTAGGAGGATTAGCTGTGGCAGTTATGATGGAGCACAGTGAAAGCAATGATACAGGTATAGGTAGGTTGCCATAAGCACAGATGAAGGCCACCTACTTAATTTTGTCTTTTGAGTTATGACATAGGAGATTATGATCTGTTTTCTGGAGAAGGAGTCCAACTGGATTCCCCAAAATAGCATCCTGGAGGCTTTAGGTGTCATTTCTGAGAGACTTTCCTCTTCAGGAACCTGTTCTTTCCTGTCATTCTTATCCAAGTCTCTGAAGTGACCCAGGAGACTATGCTGTTGTGCAGTGGGCTGGTCATTGTCAGTTGAAAGTGACATGGCATGTTGTGTTGTGGCAGTGTCAGCTCCAGGGCTTGTGATTTCAATTTGGGGAGCTCAGTTTACAGTCTGTGCCTGCAACTAACTTCATTAGTTAGGGTATAAAACCATCTGAGTCCTATCACTGTAAGACTCGATAATTGTAGCTTCCAACTTACTACTAGTTGGACACTGGAAAAGTAGAAATCTGCCAAGAAATGGGATTCTTGTCAAAGTAAGTGGAGCCATTTCCATCACCCTGAGGCTGTTTGGTCTTAGGCTGTGGTGATGCTTCTCTGTCTGAGATTGAGCTCAGGGAGGGTGCCCTATCTGAGAATCTGTATGCCCCATGTCCCTTGTCCAAGGGCAGGGGAGGGCAGATCTCTTGTGTAGAGCAGAGCATTAAGAGGGGGCAGGCTGCCTTCTACAAAGGGTGTGTTATGAAACTACTCAACAATGAAAGACTAAATGTCCACCAAATCTTCCTTTCTGAAGGGAACAGATGGGATGGCCCATTTGCTGACAGAGCATTCCTGTAGCAGTTCTGGCACAGGGACCAACACTGAAAGAGCATTTTAACTTCTGATGCCAAGGAGGTGGTTACAGGTACAAGTACTGCAGCAGTCTGCATCACTTTCAGTGAGGTTTTCATATTGTTAGACACTTTTTTTCATGGAAAGGTCCTTCTGAAAATGCAGAAGCATCCTCTCTAGCTGCTGAATTTGACCGTTAGACCAGGGTGAGAGTCAAGGCAAGCTTGGGATAGGATTTTGTGTGTGATAAAAAGGTGAGGTGCCAGTGCTGTTTCAGCTTTTTCATTTTGGTTGTTTGGGTTAACTCGGCACATCGTAGCAGAGTGTTTCAGATGAGAAGTTATTTCTGAAGTTTTTGCAGTACCTAATTTGGAAGAGACTACTGCAGAGCTGATGCTTGGAGACACTGTCGCAACACAAATGAGGGGCAGGAACATTTGTCCTGTGAAATTGATGTTCTTGCAGGCATGTAGTCTCACACTTTACCATTCCTCCAGCCAGCAGAGATGTCTCTGATTTTACTTGCTTGAGAAAAAGAAAAGTAAATTGAAGGTATTAACTATCCTAGCATATAGTGTTTGAGGAAGACAGACATGAGGGTATGTTAAAAAGATGTTAAACTGTTAAACCTTGGAATGAAGATGGTGTCCTCTCAGTTCTGTTGTCGTCTTCTGTCTGTGATTTGAAACTAGACTGTATATGTATGAAGTTTGGGGCTAGAGGGTCCATTGTCTCCCTGTGAGATCGCCTGTTCCTTGTGGGACCTTTGGCAGCCGTTAAAGAAATAAAAGCCATAGTCTGTTTTCCATGGATTTTTCTCTTCAGTCCCTGCAGAATCTATAAGAATCTGGTAGAATCTTTTGTTTAAGTGCCACTCAAATTAGTGGGATACCAAAAAGGTAATTAAGGAAAAAAAATGTCAAAAAGGACCATTTCCCTTGCACCATCAGGCTCCAAGTGTTGTTCTTTCAGTCCCACCATGTGGGATGTATCACAGAGTATTCACCTCTAAGTGAATGTAGTGATTTACCTCACCTGAGATTTTAATTTCTCCTGGCCAAACCTTTTGGAATCTCTCAGTGCTGTTCTGATGAGGTGTTTGTGCAGAAAGACTAGAGATAGGGCTTTCTGGCTGCAGTGTGACATCTCCTCAAGCTTCTAAATAGCCTAAAACCAGGATGTGCCTCTTCTGTTCAGAGGGAGAGTGTAGTTCAAGGTGTTGTGTAAATAGGCTGTTTCTCACAGGCTGATCTGCAAGAAGGATTGTTATTGCTGGAAGAGTTACAAATCATGGGGTTTGCATATCATTATGACAGCATTAGATTGCACTAGTAATCCTAAAAATTTTTAGTGAGAGCCAGGCTAGATAATGTTTGAAGATGTAGTGGTGCCGAGATTGTGAAACCTAACTGTGTTATAAGGGGAACAAGCTCTTAGCTGCAGCACATGGTTAAACATCGATTCTGCACATGCAACAGACTTTACCAGCAACAGATGATCGCAGAAAGAGCGTTAAATGGAGAAGAATGAATCAGTTTTCTGTCAAGCACAGTAAGGAGTTATAGGAGAGTTTCAGAGAATGATCCACAAAGAGGAATCAGACCTTGCTTACACCTTCAGGGGGGTTTCGTGGCAAACCCATGCAGGCTGATTCTCCAAAGGAAACACATAGGTGTATCTACACAGGGATTTTTGTTGGAGTGCCTGTACTGGTTGGGTTTATTTCTTTATATGAACGGGATTTCTTAACCAGTCTTCCAGGACAAGAGAGGCTCCTCATGTGAGCAGTAGTGCTGTAACTGTTTTCATTGAGGTTTTTGATTTTTGCTTCTTTACCAAATTGTAGCTGTACAATGTTTGCTATAACCACATCAGGGTAGCTGGCTAAGCTGTGAGTCATAGGAGGGTTTCTTTGCATAAGCTACCCGTGTGCTCACTGGAAGGTATCCTAGTTGAAGGTATGTAGATAAGACCTCCAGGCTCTGTTGGTAGAGGCTTGCTTGTCCTGGAGTAACTTTAAGCAGACAAGGAGAATTGCATAAAGTAAGATAACTTGTGGATGCAGACAAAGGCCTTAATCAGCGCAGCTGTCTGCTGTTTCAGAATTCAGTGAGCAAGGGAGAAAGACAGGGAGGAAATGTGTGTGTATGTGAAGGATGGGATGAGGATTAATGCATCATTGAGCCTTGGCAAATAAACGGAATCACTGAATCTTTAATGTAGATTAATGTCAGATTTCATTAGTCTTTGTTCTTTGCTGAGGCTTGTGTATTTCGGTGGATTCGTAGAGGTGCAACTTTATTTGTCTGTAGGTTTTGTTCATTGGTATACAATTATCCTGGAAATTCTATCCATTGCGATTTGTAAGCATAATGACGACAATACTTTTGGTCAAGAACCCTTCAGTCATTTATATCCTGCTGCTTTTGCCAGCTGTAAGGCAGGTAATCAGATACGTCTAGTGTTAACACCTGAAGAAAAGGCAATCCTCTGTCGCAGAGGAAATGCAGCAGATGTGGTGATTACTGTGCATCTCCTTCACTCCAGTTCTGTGTGAGTGTCTGCACCCTCCCTTGAAGCTTTCATAATTGTGCATTCAATCCAATTAACAGTTAAATGGGTTCACCAACATTAGTACTGCAAGTCAGAGCATCGTGGTATACAGTCTTCTGAAATCAGTCTCACTGCAACCCACTTTAGGGGCAGCAACTGCAAAATGGGGATTTTATTTACTATTTGGCAGTGAAAGAGTTAGCATTGCTGGGGTAGAAAACTGTATTTTAAGGATTTCTTTAAGAGTAGCAAACATAAAAGCCTGTCTTTTACTAAATCCAGAAGAGTGTGGCTGTGATAGAGCAGCTAGCAGTTTGAATTCTTAGGAATAGCTGTTTGCTAGTAAAAAAAGATTAATTTTTTCAACTTCCACAACCTGTTTCTAGTTTCTGGCATAGCTTTTCCTCCAATAAGCCTGGGCTTCTTACAAGTCTATTGTGTGGTGTAACTCCAGAAATAGGCGTAAAATGTTTGTTTGTGTAAATATGTACACATACATATATACACAAGTCACCTGACACAATCCCAATTTTATATGTAAGTAGTGTATTATATACTGTATTCATAACAAACCCTTCACACTACAGATTTATGCTAAAAGTATCCTAATGTTTCTGACAGCTCATGTGTGACATGAATGCAATCCATATTTCTTGGAGGAGCTAATCTAAGCTGTTTATTTTCCGATACTGCTGATAGGGCTATATCTCTAGGTGTCACCACAGTTGAGATTCTGATGGTAACATATTGTTTATGGGTCACTGCCTTTGTCTAAAAGAATAGGTTGGAACAGAATAGCAAAGGTTAATTAAGTTTGTCTATCAAGGAGGGACAGATATAGATGTCTCTTGTATTTTCTGTGCTAGAATCAAAGTAAGTCAAGGCAGGATATCATAGACTCATTTTTAGCTCATGCTGGAAAATGTGCTTAGCTGGTTTTAGGAACAAAACAAAGCCGCCTTGGGCAGTGCGAGTGCAGCAGTAGTTGTACGGGGTCAGCTCATGGGCAGCAGCATCGCAAGGTGGGAGAGTAGCGGCAGCCCTGGTTTACAGCTGGGTAAACTGAGGCAGGGAAGTGTTAAATAACTTGCTCACCATCACACAGCCTGCAGATGACAGTGGAGATTCCTGATGTGTGGATTCCCACTCTGGTGCCCAGTGGATGCCTTGTCACCTCATGTCAGAAAAAATGACCTGTGAGTTCTGTTGTTTGCAGTCAGCGACACATAAATGCAAAATACAATTTTATGCCCCCTAAAGCTGGCTTTATTGTTAAGATCAAGGCAGAAGGAGCAGGCTTTGTTAAAACTTTTAACAGAATTTCTCTGATGTTTCCATAGTTACTGGTATTGGTTTAGGCATCTGTTGGTGAGTCATGAGTGAGACAGAAGGATGGAAAGCCTGGGTGAAGTGGTTTGGCCCAGACCATGGGACACATCAGTGGCAGAGTCAAAGGATAGTACTTTGATCTCTTCTTTGCTCTGAATTCTTTGCAGCCGTTTTCACTCAGGATTAGCATCTGCAACCTCCTTCTACTTGTCCTTTTGGGGAATACACCACATGGTCCGGATCAACTGCAAAATGTGAATGTACTGCTAAGAGTAATGCTGGCTTGCTTGCAAGGAGATTGCAGCTGGCAGCTTCTGGAAATGAAAAAACTACCTGGGAGGTATTTTGTCTGAATAAATCACCTGGGAAGGGCAGGACTGTTCTCTAGTCTTCAGAGCTGGAAGGAGAACTGTGTGCCTGCCTTCTTGGCTCTTCCTCCATGAAGAAAATATGTAGAGGTTATGCAGATGCTGCCAGGAGCTTGGAGAGGAGCTTTATTTTGCTTTTCTACCACCTCTTGAGAAAGCTTTTACATGGGAATGGTCTGAACTGATGCAAGAGCATTCTCTTTTCTTTGTACTTCTTGTCTTTTGCTATGTATTTTGTCACTGTTGGGCACTGCTGTAGTGACAGAAAAATCCTGCTTCCAGCTTGCATGTTTGCAAACAAGCTGTAGCTGCCTCTATGATTCCTCATATTGGCTTTTCAAGGGAACATGGAAAAGAATTTTTGCTGAATGCATGGTATTTTAATCAGGCCATATTTGTTTGCTCATGAGTTCTACTCATGACACTGTTGCTTGAAATACATCCTGTAGGAAGTTATTGAGTGTGTGCTGTGTTGTACAGTTTAGGAGAACTTGTAAATGTAGAATAGGCCACATGTATTTCTCCCACTGAAGTCAGTGAGGTACTTGGTAAGTCCTGCTCACAGAGTGATGTGTGGTCGGACAAGGATGCACTGTAAGTAAGCAATGCAGAGTTCAACTCTGGAGCTCAGCTTGCTCTCTGCAAAGAGCAAGTGCATGTCCTTCGCCTCCACAGCACTTCTTTACCTAAAGCATGCCTTGTTCTTCTGGTGTGTAGCTTGCAGTGATACAAACCAGTGTGGTTTGTGGGACCATCCCATCCCCTGCCTGTCTTGGCCTTGCTGTAGGGCTGGAAAGGGCAAGGGAAGCAGGAGTAGACACCAGAGGGCCAGGCATCTCCTACTGTGATCCCTACATGACTGCAGTGTTCCTCCAGTACAGGCCTCAGGGAAGCACCTGGCATCTGGCTGCAAAATGTGGAAAGCTGATTTGCCCTGATTTAGAAATAATATGAATATTTCGTGGCCTCTAATGGCTGTTTTATTTCCCTTTCTGGTACCCAAAAATATGCAAGGACTGTCCAGAGCTGCAGGAGTTAAAACAGAACAAATGCCCCTTCTCATGGGGTTAGTGATCTCCTAAGCCCCCTTTTTAATGCAGTGCTAAGGTCAAGAATTCTTACAACTGTTTGGGTTTTTTTTTATTGTTACTGTAAAATAGAACTGCTAAGCTCTATAAAAAGGAAACGTTACGTTTCAGATTTACTGCAGTGTGTATTCTAAACAGTTTAATAAAACAAAACCAAAAGCTTTTAGGTTTCTTCAGCAATTAATACACTGCATAGTCTTTGCAGAGCCAAGCCAGTGGCTGTCGGTCGAACTGTGGTTCATAGACTTCGTGTGGGTAATAAGATTATAAAACATGTCTCTTGCTAGCCAGCTACCGCACACTAATAATAATAGTAGTGATAATTCATTGCATCCAGACATTTTAGGTAGGTTGTTTTTTAAGAAATGGAGAAAAACCCCAAGAAAATGTTTGAAACTAAACAGGTCACTGCATCCACTCCACAAGAAGCGAAAACATGCATGTGATCATTTTAAGTCCTAGGGAGTGATCCCTCCATTTTGTTACAGCTGAAATAATGCTGTCTGCTGTAGGAAACCTTCTCTCCGTTGTACATGTGTGCACATGCACTTGCACAAGGGAGAGGTGGGGATGTGAGGACCATGGCTGCTGCCTGCAGCCTTGCCCCACTGAGGGAGACAAGACAGTGTGTGCAGAACAGCAGGCAGACAGGAGTTCACTAACCCTTTTTCCCCCAAGTACTTCTAGAGCTGTTGAACTTCGTGGATGTGCAGGTGCAAAATGCCCTTTGGATTGAGTTTTTGGGAAGTTCATGTTGCTAATCCGTAATTTCAGGGTGGAGCAGCCTGGGTTTTGTTGAAGAAGTCTGTACAAAGCACAGATGTCTGTTTCCAAGAAAAGGCTGCCATTTTCAGAACAGCAGAGGGATGTTAGTGACGTTTTCAATTTCAGGCTTCCTTGGGATGATACGTGACATTTTTTAAAAAAGTAATTTACTGTTCATCGTGCATGGAACTTGAGTGCATATTGAGCTTTCTCTGCATGCATACAGGTGGTACAAAAATTACATTTTAATTATTGCTTTACATTACAGTAGAAAAACTTGCACTTTCACAGGCTGAAAAAGCATGTTCTGGCAATCCCTCAGTCATGTGCAAATACATGTGACTGTGCTGCTGTCAGGAGACGGGCAGAGGTGTACTTTGCTTCCTTGTAAACAGCCACCCCTCTCTCTTGCCACTTCATCTTGCTGTAAACCTGGCTCCACATGGAAAGTGGGATATTGCCCCCTGTCTCAGCACCAGCAGTATTTCATGTGACTCAAGCCACATTAATTCCAGCTACACATGATAAGATGAATATTGAGTTGTTAAGGGGGCCCTAGGAAAACAAGGGGTGACTGCATTCTGGCTTCTCACTGGAGGTGCCGGTGGCTCCTTCTGCCAGGACAGATCCTGGGTGTCTGCTGGAGAGGGGCAGCCATGCAGGACAGCAGGTTCACTCCCTGCCTTCACTGCTCCCTGGCTCTGAGCTCCCCAGCCCGGGAAGGCCTGAGAAGCAGGGCTTCATGAACGGCTGGCTGTTACCCACCACAGCAGGCAGAGCTCCTCTGGCTCTCAGCCATGTCATGTGGCTGGAGAGGCTATGAGGCACTTCTGGTTTTGAAGATGATGTCTAATGGCATAGCTGGATGTACATTAGTTGGCATTGCTGCCATTATACTTGTGATTTTTTTCTCTGCCTGGAAGTTTTCCACACTGTACTCATTCACTGCCAAACAGACTTAGGGAGAAGAGGTGGTGTTACCTTCCCTGTTGAAAATCTTAATCTTTTGAAGCTTTTTCAGAGTGCTATAGCCACATTATATTGTAGGGCTTTGGAACAAATAAAAGTAGATGGTAGTTCTTTCATAAAGCAAAAATCTAAGGAGATCAGGTCAGATTGTATTAGAGTATTGGAGTAGGATAAACCTTGATTTCTGAGTGCTGCCAACTTTGCTGCAGGTGGTTTGGTCTGGTGGACACCATGCTCACACAGCAGACCTGCTGGCTGGTCTCCAGCTGTGGCTCTGTTAAAGGCTTCTCATGTAGTCTGTCCACAGCTTGGTTTCTCTGGGTAAATCAGGAAAATATTTTTCCATCTTAGTGGATCGCAACACGTGATGCATCTGTGTATGTGTGTCACTGCTTGGGTGCTGTGGAATGTGTGTCAAGGGAGCCGATTGGTAGGGCTGTCTTTCTTAGGCACCCCACAGGTCCCTAGCAGAGCAGTTACCATCGCTCTTAGAGGGGTCGTTCCCTGGGGAGGTATAGGGATTCGATGGACACTTTACCTCTGACGCTGGCTAGATATGTGCAGTTGAACAGGTCTAGAAAGCTTCTCATTGTGTTGTCTGTGCCATAAGAAGAGGACTTGTCACGAGGCTCCTTGCAGTGAAGGGTATGTGCTTGCGTGCCAGGTGCAGCTCCTGCTGAGGTAAGGTGAATGAGCCAGACGTATGCCAGTGCTGCTGCTGTTGCTGCCAGGTTGCATCCCATTCCACACCAGCTTGCCTGTATCTCAGCAGTGTGGGCACGCTGTCAGACAAACAAAGCGAAAACCCAAAGCCAGTATGTCAGGATTTTACTTCCATTTACACCCTGTGTGCATGTGGGGCAGTGGGCAGTGGGGCAGAGGCACTAGGGCTCAGCTTTCACAGGCTGCTGTTGGCTTCTCTCTACAGGTGAAGGGAATGGAGAGCCGCCATGCCGTCAGCTCCCAGTACCGCATGTGCTCCTACTACCCACCCGCCTCCTACCTGGGGCAGGGTGTTGGTGCTCCCACATGCCTCCCCCAGATCCTGACCTCTGAGGACGTACCCTCCTACTCGGAGTCAAAAGTGAGAGGTAAGTGCACACCAGGGCATCTGGGACAGTTTTGCCTTGGGGCAGGCTCCCAGGAGGTGTGGGTTGTGCTGGGAAGGAAGCAGGACATCAGAGAGCAGACATTTACAAGGTGGTGGCTGTTTGCTGGGAGGCTTGTGGCAGCGTAGGGCTGTTACTGTACAGTAGTGAGACCTTGTGCTTAAGAAGTCTCGTAGTTCAGGAGTGCCGTTAGTTGTACCTTTCTGCTCCTGTGTATGTCTCTAAGCTGTATGAAGAGTCAGTTGAGGTGCTGTCTTTGGTGCTCACCAGCTTGCCCCAGCCACAGAATTATCTTTTCTCTCTTCTCAGAAATGCTGTCCATAATTTTTCTGCAAAGGCTCCCACTGAGCCTTTGCTGTCCTCTTCTTTCTGAGCCATGAATGGAAACTATTCCTGCACCTCAACAATGTCATGAAGCCCTTTGCAGACTTGCTTCCTTGTTCACTTTCAAACTCATCACACTGTGTTACTGAATTTAAAACTACTGCAGATAAATTTTCCTTTCATGTTCAGGGCTTTTTGACTATCCTAAGGATTACTATAGTCTGCAGTAATTTCCAGGTGAATTTACCCTCTGGTTTTGAGAATGTTTCTCTTGCTTTCTTGTTCCATTGCTCCAGTAGCTAGCAGAGTGTACCGCAGGCATTAACATGGCCTGCTAGAGTAGACCAGCTCCATTGAGCTGCTTCCCTGGAACCAAACAGTAACTGATGCTAGAGAAATAAGAAGAAAAACAGAGAAAGAGTAGGGTGATACTACTTCATATGTTCATATGTTTTGAAAGGTTAGGTGTGTATAAAGTCGTATCTGTGGCACTGAGATCTTGAATTCAGTAACTCCAACCATTTATGTTGAGGAGGTGGCTGCTCTTTCAGAATGGCTCTTTTCTGAAAGTCTTCCAACTACCTGTGACATATCAGATAGATGAAGAAACAACTCATGGTGTGATGAAACCTTACACTTTTCCTCCTTCTCCAGTAGTTCTAAATGGCTTGGAGAAATCAGTGATCCTTGGTTCATTTTCCTTCTCTTTTCTTCAGTTTTATTTTTTTCCCTCTTCTCTGACCACCATTGAACAATGACGTCTTCCTTTCTTCCCATTGGTCAGAGAAGCAGTTGGCTTTATGCTCAACTGTGTTTGACGCTTTTTCTTGCATCCATCACTACTAACTCACTAAGAAATCTTACCAGTCGAGTGTTCTTACAAATAGACAAAAGACCTTATACCCTTTGTTCCCAAATGCACTCCAGTGATTTTTCATCACTCTAGAAAACATTGTGTGCTATGTGCCACTGATTTTTAAACTGCATAAATACTGTATTTTCAATAATCCCTGACTGCTTCTCCAGACAGTGTTCCACACACAGATATTGTTCCCTAAGTTACACCATCAATCAGAAACCGACAAGCAGTGAGATGTAATTTACTGAGATCAAACAGCATTTTCCAGACTCTAAAGAAGTGGTTTTCCATAGCAGGGAGCTAGTGGGTGAAAGGGGCACCAATATTTTTGTGAGAAACTTGAACATGTGAGCAGGACCATACCCATTTAATAGGTTTCTTAGAAGCTTCTTTTTTCTTATGCATGTTTTTGAAGGAGATGGCTGCTTTTACATTTTCCTACAGACAAAACAATACCGTCAGGCTGTTAGTCAATGATTTACACTCCCATAACATTTTTCTTTCTGGGTGCTTTTCACAGTCCTCAGAGGGTTTGAGGTTTTTTACCCCTTTGTTGTCACTGGTGTAAGGGCTGTCAGCCATCAGGCTGTGAGCAGTGGATTCTGTGTGTTGAGGAGGGTGGCCCATTTCCCTGAAGTCCTGACTGTCCATACTGCAAGCGATGTCTCTTGCAAAAGATACTTCTTACACATTTCTCCATTGATTGCTGGGCTGAACTTTCTCTATAACATGAAGACTGCTTGGTATGATGCCTGGTGACATGTTTCTGCAGGATTAGTGGTTGCTGCTTGCTGAAGACAAGTTTATCATGTTTTAAATAAATGTGATTTACTTCTTCCTTTTCTGTGGTTGAGGTGGCAACCATTCTCAGACACTTTTCGTTTCTATGTTCATAGATTTTTAAGTCCAGAGGGAATATCAGGATCATCTAATCTTGCTGTATGGTGCAGACTGTAAAACTTCACCTGACAAACACCTGTAGCAAGCCCATAACTGATTGTTTTTTTAAGGAAGATCTGTGTGAAGACTTATGTATTATTAATCCAGATATTTTACAGGAAGGTGTAGGAGAGCAGCAGGTCAGAATAAAAAGTTCATTTCACAGTCAACTTTTCAAAACATCAGAAATGTGTATCTCTAACAAAAATGGTTACTGAATTCCCAGGCACATAGCTGGGATGCTCTGGCAACACATGCAGTCTGTTCCCCACGCTTCAGTTGTAACTTCAGCTTTGCAGAGGTTTTGTCAGCTTATGTATTATCTCAGTATTCCAGCCAGACTCTTAGTTCTGTTAATTTAGCTGCCTGCTTAGACCAGTCATATTGAAGAGAAGGAGAGATGAGCTAGCAGACCACTGATGTACACTCTCTTGGTTTTTATGAATGAAACAAAGTTCTCATGAAGCTTTTGACATTTGTACATGAGGTCATACCATGTCACAGTGTGTTGCATATAGTGATGGGCTACATTTTCTGAATGGCAAAACACCATCTTTCAACCTCCTTGGAATTTAAAGTGGTTATAAGTAAAGTGGTTTTGCTTCCAACTATGCACAGATGCTGCCCTTCCAGCTGAAACTGGAAAAAAAGGAGGAGAAAAGATAAACCAATGACAGTGGCAAAAGAATGTTTTCAGAGGGCTCTCTTAATTCACCAGATTGTAAGTTTTATATAGTAATTTCTAGGCAGGAGAGGGATTTTGTACTCTCTACTTGGAAAAAGTTTTTCCTCTCCTTTTTTCTGCAAAACCAGTGAGAGGGAAAGACGTATGAAACGTTGTTATCAATCCATGTGCAGGAAAAGCATGCTTTAAAACATGTCTTTCTTTTGGAAGAAGCCAAGGTGAGAGATCCTTGTGCAAAAACTGGACGGATTAGAAATGGGGTCACAACAGAGTATTTCGTCTCCAAAAGCCAAGAAGCCAAGGGCTCTTTGATTGCTGTGGGACAGGGCGTTTTTTTTGTTTTTTTTTTTTTTCTTGGGTGTTTGTTGTTGGCTTTTTTTTTGGGGGGGGGGGGGTGTTTGTTTTTGTTTTTTTCTTTTTTGTATGTGTGGTTTTGGTGGGCTGGTTGGTTTTGGGGTTTTGTGGGTTTTTTTGTTTGTTTGTTTGCTTGGTTTTTTTGAGGGGCCTTTTCAGGATTTGCTCACAGTCCTTAATTGGATAACACCTTCCACTGATTTTGGGTCAGCCCATCCTGCACTTAGGTTTGTGAAATAACCTGCACAAGACCTTAACTTTAGAGAGCTGAGGACTAGATCACTCATTCCTGGTCCACTGTTTCCACTGAGTAAAAGTTGGGCATTCACTTATGTGTATGGGAGTGTTTTACAGGTTTGGAACAGTGGCACAAAATTTAACATTCAAATAGAAGGATGCAAAGGAGAAACATTCCTGTATTTGAGACACCTTTGATTTTGAAGTAGTTAACCTTGCCTTAAAGTTGGCATGGAATAAAAGTTCTGCTTTGTCATTATTATGTGAAATGTTGAGGTAATTATTCTGTGTGTCTGTGTCAGTGGTGAAGGAGATGGTTTGCATTGAAAATGTTGCTGTAGCTACTGAATAGATTTGAATTTTCGTTTTCTTAAGTGTGAGGATGGTTGGAAACACAAGTAATGAAGCGCTGTAGCCATGCTGTATTTGCAGCCTGAACGTAAAGCTGGAGCCCGAAGCTCCTCCCAACACAAATAAGAAAAACTGATAAAAAGCGTTCATTTTGATATGAAAAAAATCAGCAGTTTTGTGTGAATTATCTTATGAAGGAGAACATTTCTGTTAACAGGATTTTTGTCATCAGAACAGCTTCCAACGCTTCCGAAACACTTTTTCACTGTCCTTTCTAGAAGCTGAATAACAGATATCCCCAGCTTTACAGTTGTGGAAGTCAAGGTGGCACAGACTTTTCCAGTGTCATCATTTAGACTCAGCCTCCTGTCTCTCTGCTTAAGACAAAAAGTTTCATTTTGGCAAAAGCATCACTGAAATGCAAGGAATGCCATGTGTGCCAGGAACATACAGGAGAGGTTGATGTTTCTTTCAGACCAGGTTACCATGTACTATAGTTACACCCCTTCTGAGGCTTCCTATAGAGTGTTTTTGCATGAGCCTATATCCTTGAAATGCCACACGAGATGCTTCAGAGCCACAGACAGCACCTAGTTGTAGGATCAGAGAGGTCAAGGAACCCCGGTTTGCAACAAGTTTTTGAGACCATGTCCTTGAGCCTAAGCTGCTTTCTGCAAATATTCAAGTTGCACAGGTGGCACTTCAACAGAGCAGCCTGGTTTGGTATGGCTAAAAAATTACCCCGTAGAGCAGGAAAGCCTTGCACATATCTGCTCTTTATTTGCAGCCAGCTGAGAAGACGGACTGATAGAACTATGCTAATAAAGCAACTAGGAATTGAGACAGAATAGTAGAAAACAGCCCAAATTCTCCTCCATCAGAAGGCTAGAAACAGTCTGCGTAAGCTATAGATTATCTGTTTCAGTCCCAAGATGTCCAAGCGGTGTTGAAGTGTGAGCGGTATCACTTCTACTCCTTTTTGTGCACTTCTTCAGTAGAGCATCAGCAGATATATATCTTGAATTTGGAGGGGTTTCAGCCACAAAGTATGTGGGGAGGACAGCATTTTGCTCCCAGAACTGATACAGTGAAGCAATATTTAGTCTGTGTGTTTTGTGTGTGTATCTTATCTGTGCATCTTTTGTTTAAAAACTGACCTGTATTCAAGAGTATGCTGTCCTTAGTGGTGAAGGAACAAGTAGTGTTTGATGAGAACTTGAGACTGTATTTTCC